TTTTTCATCATTACTCATAGGCTTTTAATAACGAGAGTGGCTCCAATACTAATAATTATAAATTGTGTCATCGTTGTAATTTCAGGTAAATGACGCAGAATTAATAGTGAAATTTAACCAGCCCTCTTCTCACAGGGGATCACTTTAAAACCCACTCAGTTCCCCTGGGGAACTGCAGTTGAGGAACCGTAGCCTCAAGCAATCTATAATTAATTCAGCGCTATTTATGAAGCCTTACTTTGAAGCATTGTGTCTCAGCTTCATTCTCCACCTGTTCATGCAGTGTGACACCTTATTAATACTATTGTACATCCATACAAGGTCGCACATTCGTACATACAGACGTATGCCTCCTACTGGATGTTCACATTCACTGGAGGACAAATGTAACGGTGGGTCATTTTTGTGCGAGTTTGAATTGTCTGGGTATTAATGAGAGTTTTTATCTACTTTTTACTATTTATTTTTTTAAGCTATCTCATTGGGGTTTTTTTCAGCACACAGATTATCTGTCAATGTTTATGTACAGCCTTGGAATAATATTTAGCAACTTTTGCTAAAGTTACCCAGATAATACTTCTATTTTTACTTGTTAGTTATCTATTTCAAGCCTCACCTTTTGTCAGTTGGTTTGAGCTTATTATATAATATACATTTAAATAATATGTTTTAACAAATTTTCACTATTTTTTGGTGAACTTTAAGCTATTTCTAGTCACAATGTTTTGGGCTAATTAATTAATTCATGCAGTGTTTGTAGGTAGCATATTCTCTAGTGAACTTTAAGCTATTTCTAGTCACAACGTTTCGGGCTAATTAATTGATTTATGCAATGTTTGTTCTTTATTAAGTACAGTTTTATATTTAGCTTAACATTTGTATCCCTCTTTGCTAACCATTATCTAATTTTTGACCATATTTTATTCATACTTTTGAATATGTTTAAAGTTATTCTGGACGACTTATTAGTTTCCTATTGTTTCCAAATGAAGCCTGACTCAAATGCATCAGAAAATGTTAACATTATGTAAAAAAAATTCCATCAAATACTGGATGGTCCGTCATGGTCTACATGCCCCACTGCTTAACAACAAAGTTAAAGGAAGAAACTTTTTTTTAACTACTCCATGGCCTTTTGAAGTCTGGTCACTCCACTGACCCACTACAGTGCAGTGTGGACCGAGCAGTGAGCAGCGAACATGTTGTAATTAAAGGCTCATTCATTTCCTCACAATAGAGTGTTTCCTTTTTTTGTCTCTGTCACCCCAGCGAGCACCAGGAACAGTGAACCTCTTGATGTGGGGAGAAGTGTGCTCTGTAATTATCCTCACACACCCCGAGCTACAGAGGTGTTTCCACAGAGCAAAGAGAGAAATCCTAAAGCCTGGGTTTCAGACGCAAATTAGGACAATTAGTGGCCTCATTGATTTGGGAGAAGGGAAGTAATATTCTAGTTAAAGTAATGGTTCATTAAGTCAATGTTATCTTCAGTAACAGGCTAATTGCCGAACTCCTGGGGAGGGACAATGAGAAGAGATGAGTTCATTCTTACAGTAGTGCAGCTCTGAGCCGCCTGTGTTTACAGGGCCCTAATAACAAGTGACTGGAGTCCTGGACATGTTTATTTGCGACACCTTTTGCTTTTTATTGTGCATGTGTGATTCATTTCCATCGGAGCGCAGGGCTCCACTGAATTACATGGCAGCTTGCCATGTTTGAGTGCATGATGGAGTGGCTCCTTCAAGGCTGAAGGTGA